CTGAAGGTCCAGTGTGCAGTTCATTTCCACTGATGGCACTGCTTCTGCTAGCACAACTAGGAGGGGTCAATATGCTCCACTTCATATCCCATGCAGACACCCCCCCCCTCCAAATCAGCTTCAGAGGATTAGGAAATCCTCTGGAGCAGTTTTCTAGGCAGTGTGAAGAACTCTTTTCAGGAAGGGAAGGATATTGTGTCATGCTAGCAGCAGGGCCCTGGAGTGATGTGGGTCTTAAGCTGACATGGGCATTTTCTAGGAAGCAATTTTCAGCCACTGGCATTGTCTAGAGCAGGGGTCTCAAACATGCGGCCCGGGGGCCATTTGTGGCCCACTGCATGATAGTTTGTGGCCCCTGCCTTGCCTGCCCCCCGAAGTGCCCACGCATCCTCTGCTGTCAAGAGTTTAAAAAAAGCCTCACCTCGCTTGCCGGCTGTCTCCCAAGACAGCGCCTCTTGCACCCTCCATCTGGAATTGCAGCCTGCCAGCCAGCCCGCCTGTCTGCTGGCTGACAGACTGCAGTTCTGGTTGGAGCGTGCAAGAGGTGCTGTCTTGGGAGACAGCCGGCGAGTGAGGCGCGCTGCTGTCCCTTTTCCCCGAGCTGCCGCCGAGCAATGCCTGAGAGTGGAGCTCAACCCCGGCCCATCCTCGAAGAGCGCCTCCAAGCCGCCAACAGCAGCTGCCGCCACCGCCGCCTCTTCCAGGGAAGCGGCTCTCTGGCTCTCTTTCTCTCTCGGCACCCCCAGCACCAGCCCTGCCAGTGGCCGCCTCAGCACCCAGCGATGCTTCCCCCTCCTCTTCATCCTGCTTCAGCCGCCTTGGCTCTGGAGTTTGCTCCTCTGTCATGGTGGGGGTAGCTGCTGCTGCTGAGTGCGCCTTTTTTTGAGGGGGCCCCTCAGAGGAAGGTTGCCAGACCTCCGTGTGTGTGTGGTGTACACCTGTGGGGCCCCCACCCCATTCTGTTTAATTTCCCGGGTACCGATGGGGGCTTTTCTCCTTTAGCAAGGCGATTCTGTGAGGGTTTTAAAAAATTTTATGTTGTGCCCTCCCCCCCGCTAGGGGGTTGCCGGTGCTCCCTCCCTTCTCCGCTTCTTTGTCCTGCTGCTGCTGTTGGTTATGGTAGTGAAGAAGGAGCTGGAGGGGGTTGTGGCCGGTGACAAGGCTCGCACGCCCCTCCTACTCCTCCTCGGAGCCCCAGCCAGGCTAAGGAAACTCCTGGGTGGCTTCCTTGGGCTCTTGGCCCACTTGCGCCCCAGCCTCGCCCAGCCTCTGCCTCCAGCAGCCCCCAGGTAAATTGAGTTTGAGACCCCTGGTCTAGAGGCTACATGGACTACACAAAAAAATTAAAGTGGAATTAGCTAGAAGTCTACTTCAGATTTTGCAAATTAGTGCCCACCAAGAGGTGTGGCCGGCACCTCTGAAGATGCCGGCCACAGAGACTGGCGAAACGTTGGGAAGAACAACCTTCAGAACACGGCCAAAGAGCCCGAGAAACCCACAACAACCATTTGCAAATTAGTGTTTGAGAACATTAAAATAGTGGTGTGTGTGTGTGTGTGTGTGTGAGAGAGAGACCTAAATAAAAGGTGAATTGCCACCCACTGAAGCTTCCAAGAATGTCACCCTTTTTACTACAAACAAGAGAAATCTGGAGGAGGGCTGGCAGGGGAGGGGGGTGACATGTGGCTGTAGGGACATGCTACAGAATCTTTTATTAGTTAAGGATTGCCCTCTTCTAGTCTGGAGCTATTTCTGATGTCTGTTTCTGACCCCAGGGTCTGCATGAGGGTATCTTTGTGGAAAGCATCTTTGGGATTTGGAATCAGTGTCTGCTAGACAGCCAAAGCCACATTCTTTCTCTGCATCCACTCATTGAGGGCAAGGGGGAAAATATGCTGCCAGTTGCCACACTTCTTAATGTGAAGTGGAAGAAAAGACACTCAGACCTCACCAACCCAAAATCAGTTCACCAGTTCCTACCCTCCAAAAATCCCCTCCCGTTTGGGGGAGCAGGATCCTGCCATCTTTATTCTGCAAAGCAACCTCACTCCACCTAATTCAGCTAGCAAAGGAGCAGGGTTAGACCTTGCACATGTAAATTACCTCCTTGCTGTAGTTACCCTTGGACTTTCACCAGGCTTCCAGGCTTACCATTTTGTCACTTGTTGATTACTGGGACAGGCAAGTGTTTTTGTTTTTTTTAAAAAAAAAAAAATCTGCCCAGGGTTAGTGACCACAGTGCCAAGATGGACAGAAAGTCGTCTGGTGAAGAACTGTGAAACGCATTACCTAGAGAAATTCTTTCTCCCACACCACTGTGAATAAAATAGGAGGCCTGCCATTCCTTGCATCATATTGGCATCTTGAATGTGTACTTGGTGAACTAGTGAATGTCCTTAGTTCTTCCAGCTAGATGGCATGGAGAAAAATAACCCAAACTGTCAATCTAATGTTGCTTTTTTAATCCAGAAGAACTACAAATGGACGACACACAGGCAGTTGGCTTTGGTAGAGTTCTGGAAAATGAGTGTGGGGCATATATTAGATCTCATTAATGAGATCCCCCCCCCGTCCCTCACTATCTTGACTAATGAGATAGGACTTGCAAGGCATTAAGCCTCAAAGAGTCTCTGAAAAACCTGAAACTAGGTGGATGCTCTGCTGCTTTGGGATGAGTAGGCCATGTCTCAACAAAAGCCGTAAAAGAATTAGCCAAGATGATCACATACAGTGGAGCCCCCTATTTGCTAAATTGTAAATTGAACCCTATTTTCCCCTTTGGTTCAATGTGATAATAAGCATTTGCTTGCAATGGAATGTCCATGCCTTATGAATGAAACCTCTGCTGTCTTCTCCCTTCTCCCTCACACCTCTCTTTCTAGCTCACTTGCCAGACAATGTCCTCTGACCTCTGCTGTCTTTTCTCTTCTCCACTCCAACTCTTCTCTCTAGTTTACTTGGTGGGGACTTCTTCCAGTCTCTACTGTCTACTCGCTTCTTCCGTTCTCTTGCAGCTGTGCCTGGTGACATAAGCTGTATATCACCATTGACAGTGATCATGAAAGTGAATTTTGAACATGAGGAGAATTAGCTAATGTTTGGAATAGTAGTAAAAATGCGGAATTGTAAAGCAAGCCTTTGTAAGCAGACCCCTGTATGTAATTGTCCAGGTTGCACTGTGATGTCCTAAGACTAGCTTGTGACGGGAAATAGGCCTACAATGACCATCGTGACATGTTTACTAAGCAGGATCCTTGGCATAATCCCCATGTTGACTTTACAGCAAGTGAAGAAAGAAATGTGTTAATTCATCCAATTGATTGTTCATAACTTTCTCGGCAAAGTTGAGTCTAATGATAGCCAGTTCTGACTGCATAAAACGCAGTGCCATTGTCACAAACTCACCTGAATGAGACTCTTCCACAATGAAATTGTGATGGCGGCCGGGGGGGGATGCACTCCTCAGTTGTATTTACGTCCTGGTGAACATTGCAGCAGGAAGCCTGATGTTTGAAGCTACTCACTTAGTCTGTAGCTCTGTCTAGTTATGACTTACGACCTAATCATGTGGAACATGCATCTTTAGAGGAGCATACTAGCCCCAGTTTCCTTCATCATTGCTTTCAATGCATTAATTTTTTAGAAAATATATTATTTATTCCAACCAGAAAGAAAAAAGAAAAGAAGAGGGGGTAAACAAAATGTAATCATAGGCCAGCCATACTGTATAGTAATAATAATACATCCAAACAAGCTTTTCTCAGGAGTTGGTGCCAATAAAATAGACTTTTATGCCTACCTAAAGTAATGAATTCTTCTGACCACTAAATAATAGATGGTGCACGTATATCATTCCGCCCTTGAAATGTGAGTTATTTGGCAATTGTAAGTGCTCATAAAATGCCGTCACGCTGACGACCAGTTGAGTTCCAAAGCACAGAGACATAGTTTAAAAGTACATGTCTGCAAATATAAACTTAAAAAAAAAAACAAAGTTAATCTGCTGCAGTATATCCAATCAAAAAAAGGGGGGCCCTACTGGACACGCCCACATCAAGAGGCACAATCTACATTACAACACTATCATTTAGTTGATGTGGCCAATTTCATTGTAAGTGAACCAAGTGGTGTCCAGAATGTCCAACATAGTCGTTTTTTGCTGAAAAAAAGTGTAGCTTTAGGTCTAAAAAGATCTCAAGTATTGAAGCTGGGGCAGGTTTCCACTGGTTAATTTGCACTGGACAGTTCAGTTCCTCATTCTACTCCATTCCTATTTCATTAATGTTGAGGTTATTGCTTCCGAATGCAGATTTATAAACCGTTGCTGTTGGCTTCACATTCCAAAATGGCAAGAGTTGCTGTGGTCGATCACCTATGTGTGAATACAAGGACAAGTGTAACATGTGGAAGCAAGCATCAGAAGGGAGGAAAGCTGTTCTGTCTGGGTAGCCTCTCCACATGAGCCAGAGCCCCAATTTTGAAGAGTTCCATTTCATGTTAAGCGGGTTCCTGAAGAGAGCAACCTCCTCATCTTCATTGCTTTTATGTGTTTAAAGCAACAATGGCAGAGATATAACTACCATTCTTCCTTCAGTATCTGTGGGTTCCACATGCTTAGATAATGACTGAATAGGGCATTTGGAAACATAACACGGAAGGGGAGTGATTCTTCAGGATGTCTTAGCAGCCCAGTGCTCTGCATGGGTTTCCCCAATCAGCTGTGTCAGTACAACTTTATGCACCTAACATGGTGTATTTACCTTTAGTGTTTTGAGCAGATGAAGCAGCCTAATGGATGGAGCTGCTCCTCTTCCTTGAGGGGGACCGGCTCTTCTTTGTGCTTTCACTGGAGCACACATTTCCAGTAAACATATTTTTTTTTGTAACAGATTCAGGATTCCACAAAATATTGCTGGCTGTCTGGATTGCTTACCCATTTCAACAATCTGCTGAAATTCACTGATGCTGTTTTGTCTTGTTCTGTTTTTGTGTTCCTTTAGGCCCTTCATCTGACACAAGTTTTGAAGAAAAGAAAAACCTTTGCCAAAATCAACTGTCAGCAAAGACAGGGATACCGTTTACAGCTTATATTATAACCTTTATCAGCCCTGCATTATTTTCCTGATGAAACCAAGACTGTTAATGAGCCCCAGCACTGGAGTGACGAACTGCCTTGTTTGGAACTGAACTTATTCTGAAGTATGCAAAATCTTCCTAATGTGGGGTGGTCCAGCAGCAATTCCAAGATATGTGGATACCACCCTGTTTCAGAACACACTGTGTAGCCTTGATGATAGTTTCTTTGTCATTCAATATATGATGTTGCAGGATTATTTTTTGTTAGGTTTCGTTTTTCAGGGTTCCCCCCCATCCCACCCTTCTAAGGTGTGAGTAATTCCCTCCCCCAATAAATGCTTTAATTGTTTTTCCCCCATATGCCATTTCCTTATGAATACAAAATGCAGAATAATATATGCACAATGAAAAGTTGAATCCATTTTGGCTTGAAATACCAACAGCACTTGAATATTACAGTCTTCATAGTATCTGAAATTAATTGGGTTAAAGAGGTGGTTTGTGAAGGGTTTTTATATTTGTTTTTGGCTTGGGTTTTGATTTTTGATTTTTAACTGGATGGCTGATTAATGGATTGGTTCTGATTCAGTCTCAACAATTCCCCATCTAAGTCTGTTCTGAAACTTAAGGGTACGCTTGTCTTTTTCTTCTCAGCACAAAGGAGGGGGGGTGAATTTTACCTCACAAAAATTAGCCACCACCAATGCTGCATCCTATCCAGTGTTCAAAAGGTATGAGGGAGACGGGTATTTTATAGTGTTTAGGGAGTTAGATGGCAGCTGACATGCTGTCAGTCAGATCAGCTCTAGTTTAATGGGTTGCACTCACCGTTCTGCCCAGATAGGCATGGTGGCTTGGCTTTTGTTTTTGTTTTCTGTTTTCCTTCATTGTTTATTTGTTTTTTGCTCTGCCCCTACGCCAACTGGTGAATCTTGAAATGAGGCTGTGAGTTGCACCTGTTTACCACCTTGCCAAACATGTCCGTGACCACCTAGAAGGCAACAGCTTGCTTTCACATTAATGATAACAATACCAATAATAATTGCATTAAAAACAATAACAATAAAAGAAAGAAAGAAAAAACGAAAAGAAAAAAAGTAACTATCTTGCATGAAAATGAAGTTTTATGTATCTGCATCATCCAGGACTTGGGTGATTTATTACTTTGGTGATTATTTTTTACATCCTCCTCTTAATAATTCTTTCCTTCTTGTGATGTATCTATCATTGAGACTGGGAGGAGAAGCTGTGTAAACCAGGAAGGAAGATAGGAGGGAAAACCATACAGATAGCTTTTCATAGGAGCGTAGACTGTCATTGGATAAATTCCACTGAAAAACAAAGTAGTTTTTATATATTTTGCTGATATGGGTTTCTTTTGTAAATTTATATAGTAATAAGGACTGAAAGTTATGGTGCTGTGAAAGTCTTGTTTGATTACTTTTTATTGCTATGCTTTTGAGATAAAGAGGAGAGGAGACAGACAAATAGGGGGAAGAACCCAATGGTACATTTTAATTTTTATTATTATTATTATTTTTAATGGTGTGAAGACATTTTGGCTGGGCCGACATATACCACTTTCTCCAAAGTGAAACATGAAAAAACCTTTGGCATAAAGACACAATGCATATAAATATATAAATATATTTTATTATGTACAGAAACAGATCATTATGCATGAATGTTAGGAAAACAAATTAGCATTTTAACCCAAGGTTTCAGTGCATGATTTTCCACTGGCACATGTACCATGTACTATGTGACGTGAGGCCTGTCAGTCGCCACACATTAGTGCGCGTGCACCTGTAAGGCACAAAGCACACACACACACACACAACACACCTCTGTGGGCCCCCTGCTGCTCCTTCTTTTCCAGTTCTCTGAGGTAATACTGGGTGAAATAACAGGCCCCTCTCGTGCAACAGACGTTTTGTTTTGTACTGTAGTCTCCTCATGATTGTGCTGCGCTATTTCTATAGACGAACATGTGAACACCATCCTGTGCAGTTCAGAATTGAATTATGAAAACTCTGTGCTATTGTGGTTCTTCATAGATCATAGAATAAAAGGAAACTTTCCAAATAGTTAAGATGTTTATCATTTTTCAAAAATAAATAAATACAGACTATTTTTTAATAATTAAGGTGGTATATTTGTCAATGGCAGAGTCTAGTTTACCATATTTCTTTAAATCAGAGATTACCAGTGTGTGAGAATGTTTAGCACATTGGAAAGGGCTTCCCTAAGAGGAAAACACTATAAAACTGTCATCTGTTCCAGGGCTTAAGAAAAGTATGAGTTTATTTAGAAAGACTCAGTTACAGGTACTTATTACCAAAGCTACTTAAGATTTTGTTCACATGCATTCATTAGTATCTGAAATATCATTAATATGTAAATTCAGACAATAGTATATTGGGGGTACTTGTTTGGTTTAGCAATGTTTTACATTGTGTACAATTCATGGCTAAGTTTCTGTTCTTAACAGGAGCTGTATGCATCTTTTCTTTAAAAAATCTGATACTTATCAAAGCTTTTTTGTTTCTGCCTTGGTCTCTCCTGCTGAAATGTTCTTTTTCCATTTGGAGATGCAATTTTCAGAAAACTTGGGAAGTAAATTTATCCTTTTGCAAACTGTAATTTTTGTCAGGTTATAGATACTGGAGTATTCATCTGGCTAAATTAAATGTATTTTAATCATCTGCGATAGACAACATAGGTACTCCCACATTCACCACATGGTTAGGCTTCTATATATTTTGGTTTTAATTCCAAAGGGCAGACTCCCCAAAGAGAGGTGCATCACTTTTTCAATGTGCAAACATTCAAGAGGGCAACCACCTGGAAGAGGGAGGGTACAGTAATGTGCTATAGCATATGGGTCACATGATAAAAAGGCCCACGTTCAGAGCTTAGCATCTGCATGTAGGATTAGAATGAAAGCCCCTATGTGAAACTCTGGAGGGCTGTTCTCAGTCATTGTCAATAAGAGTGAGTTCCATGGATCAATGGTCTGATTCTGTATAAGTCAGCTGAATGTTCAACTTTCCTGGGAGTTCTGTTTTGGGCAGAGACTGACAATTGCAGTTATATGTAGAGTGGATTATATTTGACCCAAGGGACATGTCCAAATAAAACAGTCTGTCAGGTTGTTCAGACCAAAGGCAACGGGGTCCTGTTGACCTCAGTAGAACAAAACAAGCTGCAAGAAGCCAGAGTCTTGTGTCACCTTAAAGATTAACACATTCTAGTTGACATAACATTTTCATTGACTCCAGCCCATTTCTTCCAAGGCGCACACTGAAGTGGGCTGAAATTCATGAAAGCAAATGCCAAATTTGCTGGTCTTTAAGGTAATGCAAGACTTTGTGTTGTTTTTCCTGCAATAGATTAAAATGGCATTCTTCCTGGGAAAACCATTGCATTGCAATGTTCTCTAAACAGATTATTCTTTTATTTTAAAAATCAACTAATACAGGGCTTCCTTGGTCACAGTGGGTATCATCCAGCCAATTGAAAGCACATCACACCATGTTTCTACACATTTTTACTCAGGATAAAGTCTCATTGATGGTATGTTGCATTCTGTTTTTCACTCAGAGGAATGTGATTTTGAAATGAGATTGATTGCTCTTTAATTTTTCCTCCTTTATATCTGCTTCCCATAGTACACCACATGTTTGAATTCAATAATAAGTAGTCAAGAACTTTATGTTTCAAATAACTTTCGAACAACTGCATTCCAGTTTACAGGCTTATCCTGTGTACTTTCGACTCCTCAAACTTGGTACCTCCAGTAATTACCTTCAGCAATTGTATTTACATAGACTTAAAGGAGTCAGATTTAAGTTAGCCATCTTTAGCTTGCACCCTTCACTGTCACTCCCATAATATCTTGCCATTAGCTGTGCTGGATGGATCTGATAGGAGCTGTAGTCTAAAACATATGGGAGTTCCACATCGGGGGCAGCTGTGCTAGGTGAAAGCAAGCATCTGATATTCAGATTTAACTGTGATTCAGTATTATGATAATAGGTTAGTATGAGTCTCAGGTTCTCACATTTATACTGCCCCTTTCCTCTAAAGCAGAAGCGAAGGAGATTGAATGCTCCCATCTTCAGTTTTCAATAAATAATAGTTTCCTGTTAAGATTTCTTAACCTAGGAACCTGGTATTTTCTAACTGCAGGTACTTAACAAAGCAGAATCTTAAACTTTGTGGTTTCTCTGAATCAGTAATTTGCATTTGTTGACATGTTTATAGCTCTCTTTTCAAATCAAACTGAAAATGGCTTTTGGATAAGATCTCTGCTCCCTCCTTTCAGATAGGAAAAGGGAGTGGAAGAGTGTGGAAGAATGACAGCTGAAGGATCCGTTTTGTTCCTTCTTATACCTTGTTATGTCTGAATTGAGCCAAAAGGGCACACAGGTTTCTGAATTCAAAGATTAATATTCGTTGCTGGGATACAGTGGCAGCAAAATGAGCTTCTCTTAGAGTACAATTAGATGGGCATTTAGCCTGCTGTTTGGTTCACCATGAAGGATGGGTTGGTTTACTCCTTTTTCTGGTGATCACACGATATCATCACTGGAGTGCACCAGCCCATCCCTGGAGAATTCCTCTCCTCACCTTTCTGAATCCTTATCAGAGATTTCTGCTTTTTGGGGGGTGGGGGGTGTAGGATCGCTCCATTTTGTTTCCAGCACATAAGTTCATTGGAACCAGCGCAAGCTTGGAGCTGTCAAGGCTCCTTCCATTGTCAGTTTCCTATATGGTGAAGGTGGGCTAGGAAAACAGCCACTGTATGCTCCTATATTAGAGCAGCACATTTATTTAAAAAAAGAAAGAAAGAAAAGAAAATGTCCTCCCAGAAGTGGAAGGAGACAGAAGGGGGCAACAAGGGGTATTCTTCCCCCCCTTTTTTTTCTTTCCTTTATGACTTGTCTCAAAGGTCAGGTTGAGAACCTGCCAGCAGTGGATTTGACTGCAGGCAGGCTCATGACCCAAACTTTAGCACAAGTCTCAAAAGAAGAAGAAGAAGAAGAAGGTGGGGGGAGACCCCTCATTGCCTCCTCTGGCCTCCAGGGGGAAAGTTTCCGTTTTTTAAACTTTTTTATAAGTGATGCCGTGCATCTGCACTGCTCTAATACAAGACCATACCAAATGGCATGCTGGATCTCTTCACAACCTCTAGTAACCCTATTTAGCCTTCTCCATCCGGCTCCAATGGGACTGTGCAGACCAACCCCCAGTATGTAAATTTTAAACCACTCCATGGAAGTCCTGAAGTCCTGTAGCTGACTCTGTGTCAGTGAGCTGAATTTCTCAACCTGCCAGCTTCTCAGCTATCCTCCATATGTGCTCAGCTCCAAGGAGCTCTGAGTAATGTGGCTCTAACAAACATTTAAACATGTCCCCCATTCAGTGAGATCACTTTTCGTGTGCTTAAATGCTGTGGTACCTCATAGTTAATATCTGTGAACTAACTCTGTTGCACTAATGGTTCTTGCTGAATTGTTTATGGGATCATACCTAGCAAATACTTAGGTGATTATCTTCAGTCACTGTAATTTTTGAATGATTACTCCATCAAAATTATGAAACTATCCCCCTTAAAGAAGGAGTTGGCATAGTTGTATAAACATTTATCTAACTCTCAGTTGAATAGTTTTTTGCATTCTGCTTTTTTCTTTCTTTTTTAAACAACAATAAGCTTAGAACTCCAAAGCTGGAAGGGACCCTTCAGGATCATCAAACCTGGCTCCTATCAAGGAAGCACAGTGGGAACTGAACTCCCAACATCTGGCTCCACAACCAGACACCCAAACCACTGAGCTATCCAGCAACTCAGATCACTCCTCCATGGTTCATTTTTTTTTTACTTTCACTCTTGCTGAATTAATCATTATAATAATGGATTACCAGGCTGTTGCATATCATATCACTGTCTTCAAGAACTAAATATTGGAACATTTATCTCTTGGGAATGACATAATTGCTTAGCAACGAATAGTCATTCATTTATTTTCTAAACATGGTGTATATCAAAATAACCAGCAGATGTAAAGGGGGACCACATACAAACTAACTTGCTATGGGGTGGGACTAGGGGAGGAGTGGGAAAGACATTGTACATTTTGGCTTCATGTGTGAAACTTTTTTGAACCAAAAGAAGTTGCATGAATGGACAAAATATGTATACAGCATCTGTAAAACTGTCTGATCGGGGTTCTTTCTTTCACAGTCAAACCACATACTTTTGGAAGAAAATTCCGCCCACTGCCTTAGTGCATGGCTGTCTTTCCTAAGAAGCGCACCATTTTTACTTTTCCTATGAGCTACTTTGCAGTTTCATTTCAAAGTTGGCTCTGTTGTGAACTCAACAGAGGCCTTTGTGAAACCAAATGCTGACATGGGTAAATATACTACCTTAATACATCATGACTGGGTGTCATTTGGAAATCTTCCCCCTTTTGCAAATGAAATAGCAATGCAGAGCTTAACTCAGCTTGATGTTAGTAGATATTGCGTTGTGCAGCCCATTTTCAGTTGTAATCTAGTTTGTAAAAGAAATTGTGACGCATGTAAATAAAGCATCATGGATCTCTATGCTGAATGTGCAGGTTTGCTTTTTTCTTCATTCCCTATCCTTTGGTGTAGACACTTGTAGATACTAGATGTCTTTGGAGGGGGGGGGAGGAAACATTTAGACCCTCCTTATCAAATCTGAACAAAGCTTCCTATAGGTGAGCATTGCTATTTCTTCCTTTCTGCAGATGTAAAGCCCATCAGGGGAGGATGGGGGGAAAAACCTGGGTTGTACTATTTCAGGATGCCAGTCCATGGAGGCTGAAATTACACATCTAAAAACTTGTGCACATACACTTTTTGCATGTGGGCAGCTAGCTGGCGAGGCAGAAGGATTTGGGTTTCCTTTCCCTTGACATGCTTGTTTGCAAGAAGTTTGTAGCTGTACTAATGTGAAAAGACTTACTTGTTTTGCAAGTTCTGAATGTAAATGTTCTCTATCAAGCCAGTGTGAACCAATTAATAGAAATCTGGATCTGGATTCAGATCCCAGCTTGGCTTGAATCATGCATACCTAATGGTGCTTCATGCATTGAATCATAAAAGGAATCAGAATGGTTAAAGCTCTTTTGTAGCAGAAGGAAACTCAAAATCCTGGTTCATGCAGGTAGCCCAATGCACCAGAAATTCAGTAATCAAGGCGACAGCTGCCTAGAGTGGTCACCATGACCAGATAGGTGGGGTATAAATGGAATAAATAAATAAATAAATAATAAATAAACAACCGTGACCAAACCACCATGGCCTCTCTTCACTTCAGTTAGTCAGTGACTGTATGGTGGGTTCTTGTAACCTAATAGACCTCCTTGCAACTAACCAGCAAGAACCACACTGCAGCCTGATGTGACCACTGGCCTGAACTCAAAACTGGCCTTGGCACACTGTCCATTTATACCTTTGATATCAGATATATAGGGAGCAATTCACATGGTGTGCTAGACAAGAAACAGTTCATGGTACTAACAGCCTTCAGTCTCCAGGCCTGAAAAAAAACTGTAATTGAAGAAGACTTTACTAGAGGACCAGACAAGTGTGATTAGATGATTCAGACTGTGCTGGCCAAAAGAGGAAGGAAAGGCAAAGGTTTAAAATGCATGAAATGTTGCTAAGCAAATTTCTTTCATATTTTAATAGAATGTCGCAGCAAAGCACAGGAGCTGGATTCAGGTACAAATCTCACCTCAGCTATGAACTTGCAGGGCCTCCTACCATTCCTCCCATATCACCAGTTTGCAATATTAGGATTCTAATAGGGTGCTCCTTTATTAGAGTTGCTATGTAGATTGCTGAGATTACATAGCTGAAGTGCTTTGAAAGTGGCCTCCTATGCGGACAGTTTTTGTCTGACCTTTTAGGAGAAGGCAAAGAAAATATATTTTTAAAGTAAATTATAATTGATGCAGCACATCAGCAATAGAGTCCATATACAGTTTTTTTTAAAAAAATTCCCCCCTTCCCCTGCCCTTTTGCCAAACAGAAGAAGTTTCAATTTGACAATATCCTTATTAAGCAACTTCCTGATATTGGCAGAAACGATTTCTGTGTGAACCTTTGGGCTTGATTGGGTTACTGTAATCAAGCCCAACTGATTCAAAGCAGCTCACACTAGCTCACTCCCTAGTAGCCACACCCTTAGTCACTCCATTCACTACAGCCCACTGGATGTAAATCAATACAAATTCACACAAGTCATGCCCTGTGGTAAATGGTTTGCTTCCTCTACTGAGAAATTATCTTTGTGTTTGCTCTATGCATGCATCCTCTTCCCCCAGTCTGGGAAGAGGGGGAAAGATAATGTTTCATTGGATTCGAAGTTATCCCCATAATAAAATCAAGCAACAAAATTTTGACTCTTCAGACTTCACAGAGTTGCTGACAAGATCCTTCTGCTTAGTGTAGTAAATTGCACTAGAGAAGGCCCACTGAACCATTGAGGATGTAGTGGAGTGTAATTCCTCCATAAATTCCATTGATCTAAAAGGGCCTATTCCAATTGCAACTTATGCTAAAGCAAGCAGCAGTTAAGAGTAGATCCATTTGAATCAATGGAACTAGCAAAGGAGGTGACTCACTATATTGCTACCGATTCAATGGGCCTGCTCAGAAACAATTTATTACACTAAGCAGCAGTATTCTGGCCACTGTGATTTTCCTTTAAGAGGAGGTTCAAGGACTACAGCCCACCCTTGTGCCAAAGGCATTTGCCCTTTGTAAGAAGTAACAGTTTCATTTTTAAAAAAAACATTAAAAAGCCAAATGTTGTGGGAACAAAGTAAGCTCTAGTTACTTTCTTTCAAAGCACAGGATGTTTCAAATTTTTCACAAGAAGCTTACCCTAACATACTTCATGATTTTGCGGCTGTGCAACTGGACCACGTGTGTTGTGTGCTATCAAGTTGCGTCTGACTCACGGCGCCCCTAATAGTGTTTTCAGCATACCTATGTCAGATACTTAAGTAGTGATTTATTCAGTACCACTCCCAGATTTGAATCCAAGTCTCCTCTATCCACTCCACCACCCTGGCTCTCAGCTGGGTTGCAATTCTTGATCTATGTGATGAACATGCCCACACATACCATAACCTGAGGATTTTTGACCATTCATCATCTGGTTACTTACATCTAGCAGTATTATGGAATTTGAGTGGCACAAACAAATACTTAGGCTCATCTCTTTCTGTGAAGTGGCCCATGGTCATGTTAGAACCCTAGATTCACATGATATCAGGTGGTGTCACCAACAAAAATTATTTGACCAGTTGGAGAGATCCCATTGTCCCCGCATGGCCCATGGTGGGCAGTTAACATGGACCCCCATTTTATTATATTTTTTATATAACAGCAGCAGTTATTTAGCCCAACAGTGACATTTTGTCAAGGACAGTTGTCAGGGACAGTAAGAGAACTCTGAGTCGGAGAGAGAAATGCCATCACTATGTAAGCCCACCTGCAGGGTGGGTAGGGGGTGAGAGTGGCTCTCAGCTGGGTTGCAACTCTTGATCTATGTGATGAACATGCCCACACATACCATAACCTGAAGATTTTTGACCATTCGTCATCTGGTTACTTACATCTAGCAGTATTATGGAATTTGAGTGGCACAAACAAATACTTAGGCTCATCTCTTTCTGTGAAGTGGCCCATGGTCATGTTAGAACCCTAGATTCACATGATATCAGGTGCTGGGTTGCAACTCTTGATCTATGTGATGAACATGCCCACACATACCATAACCTGAAGATTTTTGACCATTCGTCATCTGGTTACTTACATCTAGCAGTATTATGGAATTTGAGTGGCACAAACAAATACTTAGGCTCATCTCTTTCTGTGAAGTGGCCCATGGTCATGTTAGAACCCTAGATTCACATGATATCAGGTGGTGTCACCAACAAAAATTATTTGACCAGTTGGAGAGATCCCATTGTCCCCGCATGGCCCATGGTGGGCAGTTAACATGGACCCCCATTTTATTATATTTTTTATATAACAGCAGCAGTTATTTAGCCCAACAGTGACATTTTGTCAAGGACAGTAAGAGAACTCTGAGTCACAGAGAGAAATGCCATCACTATGTAAACCCACCTGCAGGGTGGGTAGGGGGTGAGAGTGTTGACTAAGTTGGCCCCAGCTGTGTCCAGTATGTTGAAAGGACATAGAGACAGCCCTCAAGGAGTCTCTAGCCCCATCTTTCAGAAAGGAAACATTGTTATGATGACATATTAAACTCTGGCTAGTACAAGGAACTACTCACGCTGACTGCCTATTTGCATGAGAGGAACACCCTAAGATTGCAGCTTCACTGTCATAAAAAAAAGAAAATGCTGACTCCGTCTCTCTTCTGCTGGGCAGTGGCACGTGTCTGGCAAATGCCAAGTGATTAAAAACTCGGTGATGCCAAGTTAAGCTTTCCATGGTGGATGCGGATCTGCAAAATGTAATTTTTACAAACAGAAGTTAACACTTAAAGTTATCATCGCTGAGTGATAACCACTCATAGGTGAACTCATCTGAAGAGGAATAAATAAAAGCCTCTTAGCCCTTCTTTCTACTCTGTATTCACCATGAACTAACCCACTTTGAACTATTTTAGTAAAGACTGAAACCATGCAAAATCCTGTCCACCTTTAAACAAAAGTAACTTCTTGTTGAAGTCAATAGGTCCGATCCAAAGGCACAAGTATCAAATACTGCAGCCTCTTCACACATGAAGTGCCTGGTTCTTTTCCCCTCTCCACACAATTCATCCAATTTACTTGTTTAGACTTGGCCTTAGTTTATGAACTCTAAAATATAATAATGATGGTGTAGTATTCTCCTTTAGTAACAGGTCAACAACCATGAAAAGCCATTCTACTTTACAAAGATGACCTCTATCAGGTACAGTCTTGTTGCAAAATCTGAAGACTGATGACTCATGAGTTCACTTGAGGACTTTGACTTTTCCATCTGTGAGTGACAAGGCTAATCTCCTGTGCATTTTTGGTTCCTAGTTTCCTCATTGCTGTGTTAGTTAAGACAACATTTGAAGAAAAAGCCACAACCGAGAGTATTTGGAGTTCTAAGCTGATGTACTCCTCTAAAATGCCAACAAATTCCAGAAAAGTTATCTTTCCATATACAATGGAAAATGAGATTTTAAATAGTCTTATTTTCAGATTACAAGTATGAAAATTCTAAATAAATTTATTTTGTACAAAAGCCAGAGTTCAAGCCACAAGGAATTTAAGCCTGCATTTTTTTAAATTTAAGATTATCCTGGGTATAGTCCAGAAACCAGTTAAACCAGAACATTTGGATTTAAGCCTATTTTACACCCACTTACGTCAAAGGAACTAATTTGATTTAAATCTGGGCATTCCAGAGTAATTGGTTTTGTGAATTAGGTTGTTACTCATAGATGTCAGTAGGACAAAAGTACTTAAATCCAAGTATTTGAAAACTGAATTCATTAAATTGATTGTCCAAGACTACAAATATGTATTTGTTTGCTTAAGTCTAAAGAAAAAAAGATGTGAGAT